TTCTTGTTTCTACTAGCTTCTTGTTCCTAGTAGTAAGGCACTTGTTAGCACTTGTTACTAGTAGCTTCTTGTTTCTACTAGCTTCTTGTTACTAGTAAGGCCCTTGCTCCTAGTAGCGATGCCAGGAGCCCCTACCTAGTAGCGTCCGTGCAAGCCTTCTTTCTCAGAATGAGATCACTAGTAGGATGCTTGCCCTCAAGAACAAACTATAGTTGATTCATGTTGATTCTGCTTATATACAAGGTTTAGGTGGTGGACATCTTGCCGCAACTGGCAGGCTTCTTTGGGAACCCGTCCTCCGAGTTGCTGACACGCTGGTTCCAGGCGAGAGAAGGAAGGACAGGAACTTGTTTGGTGTGTTGATGTCTGCCCTTCCTTCGACAAAAGGTCACCGTAGGTGTGCCAACGTGGATTCCGTCAGCGAGCCGGTGATAATCACCAATTAGTCACGTCATCAGTCCAAGATTCTAGTTCGGCTGGAATCGGTTCACACGTCTGTTTGCAAGGTGACGATGGTAGGGACTGCATCTGACATTGTTGGCTGCCCAAGATGTAAGATGTGGCCACAAATTTTGCTATTTTTTTTCTGTGTGACCCAATCAGCTAGTGCATGCTACTAAGAAACTCACTCGCCTTTATACAAACCTGTTCACCAATTGAACCCATGTGACTTTCTCACTTCGTCCCAGACCCCTCCTCCCTGAGGGGCCTATTCGGTGACCGTATGCTTCTGAGCCGGTTGCACTCCTTTTCAGGTGGGTACATTCATGCCTTTAATGCGGACACATTCTCACCACGACTCGGTGCCACATTGGCCGTGGCTCTATCCTGATGGAGAGATCATGTACCTTGGAGCAAAGCTTGGGGCACCTGGCTCTCTAAGTGTTGGATGTGTCTCCTTTCACCACTGTTAAGTGATTGACAAGAAGAAGGGCCAATGAATCCAAGAGATCTAGCGAAGAAAAGAGATGTAATATAATACAATCCTTGAAAGTGTCCGAGTAGTGTCACTGTCAAGGAGACCGAGAGACCGAGGGCCTCGACACCCAAAGAGTCCGAGGTCTCTGATCGGATGCGATGGTTCAACATGACTCCATGGTCTCAGGGAAATTGCGGGGGTATCCCAAGGCCCATTGGTGCAAAGACAACTACCCCAAAGATGCTTCAGCGACTGACTGAGGCGGACGGCTCTGACTTTGCGTTACAGTGCCTGAGCAGAAAACGGCTGAGGGGTAGTGGGTGCTTACGGACCCACATTTCAGGTTTGATTGCCCTTTGTTGTAATCATATGGATGATACTTGCACATAGCTTTGGTGATGGTGCAAGTGGTTCACCACCACCACCCCAAAGATCGTCGCTGGATTGCTCGGCTAGTGTGAGTGTTCCCCTTGAGAAGGATGAGAATAAGGCACCACGTGTTTGCCAGTCAACCAGAGCATTTGGGCTTGTGCCACAGGGTCTGAGCTGTGACACTGTGAACATGTATTCTTGTGTTTGGTGTTTTTTGATCATCAAACATTTGATTTGGAGGTAAGCCTCGGCAGATGCCCCATTCAAGACAACTTCCAGAGAGTTTATTGACGTTCACGGAATCCATCAACTTCAGTCACTCTTAACGAAGTTGGGCCCTGTGGGATTTATGTTGAACCATGCGCAAGGTGTGTGGTCATGGTGTCAACATGGGCACTGCTTCTCTTTCTAGCATGATTGGGAGATCTGTATTGTTACCAATGCTTTCAAGCAGCATTGCTCATCATCTTCGGTCTGTTTGCAGCATGTAGATTTGCCTTTCTTGGGTCACCAAGGACTGCTTCCCTACCACTACTCCCTGGCGCATCGCCACTGGGAGAAGAATGGTCCAGCCGGTGGAAGATCGGGGATGACAAGGGAAACCAGCTTGCCTTGAAACTGAATTGAACCCGGCAAGTCCCGCAGAGGACGGTAGTTCAAGCCAAGGCCCAACCCCTTCCGATTGCTCGCGTGCTTCTTTCACAAAGAGAGACCTTGTGTCCCATCTCGGTCAACAATGTGATAGCTCGTCAACAAGAAGCTACTAGGATCAAAGGGCATCGCTACTAGGAGCAAGGACGCCACGAACGGGGCTCCTGGCCGTACTACTACGAACAAGGACGCTACTAGCTCCAATGTGATAGCTCTCAGTTGGACTGGGAAGCATCCGAAAGATCTGCCAATCGTTTCCAAACTCTGGCTTGGGCCGATCTTGGGAGGCATCGCGAGCGAAGGAAACAAGAAGTTTTGGAAGGCTTTTTTGCAAAGCGAGCAATCGGTTTGTCATGATTATATAGTCAAAAAGCTGGTGACTTCTGTGTGCCTCCGACGTGGCCCAAGTGTGTCACCGGAAATTCACGATGATCACTTTAGTCTGAGGTTTGTCCACCGAGGGCGAGCTCTTTGTGAGGCCCTTGGCCGTAGACTTCCCAGAGGCCCCTTGGCGGGTGTCTGGACTGGGCATCTGGACTGGGCGTCTGTCGTCGCTTCGAGGCGAGTGAACTGGGTCGGCTAGGGCGGCTGGCTTTTTTGATCGTCGCGAAAAGTTGGCATCCGGACTGGTGCTGAACATGAAGCGGTTTGAAAAGCAGCTTTTCGTGGCCTTTGCAGTTTCCTTTTTAAACGTGCAAGCTTTCTTTTTTGTGTGTTCTGGCCATCATCTGCATTGGCCATGAGGCTGCTTATAGCTTATGACTTGCCAAGACTGTTTGGGTGTCACAATCCCTAGGGCTAGCACTGCTCCTAGGCACTCCACTTCACCCAAAGATTGAATCCTTGCACCTACGTAGATATGGATGTGGCTGCGAAATGGGTCACCAAAGAACTAGACAAACAAGGGACCAACAATTCACGAAGCATTTGACCCACTAACAAGTGCATTACTACTAGTAGCAAGAAGCTACCAGTAACAAGTGCATCGCTACTGGTAGCAAGTGCATTACTACTAGTAGCAAACAGCTACATCTTCTTTTTGAACTTCCCACCGAAACCTGTCCCAGTGGCACACTGGGCACTGGGGCGGACGGGGCAGACGGGGCACGCCGCAGGTTGAAAACCTCACAACTCAGTGGATGGATGGGGAGATCCTTGTGTGTGGAACCTCAGCCATCACAGGATTCTCATGGTTTTTGAAGACACGCTATTGTTGTTATTAAGTTTTAGTGTTAAGCACACACATATATATATATAAATACACATAACAAGACTATTTGGGTTTAATAACAAATATATGTATCCTGAGATAATGTGCCGCGGCAAAGTGCAGATGTTCAACAGCATGCTTCGTTCACTTTACAAATTCTGTTCAAAGGCTGAAGGACGTCGTGTGCAGAGTAGGTTCATGCTGTATTGAACAAAGCACACTGCAATAGTGGAATCCAAAAGGTTCGAACCCAAAGAATCCTAAAGGTTCGAACAATGAGCCATGAAGATCACCTTAAGAGTTCAAGTGCATCATGCTCAATTCCCTCAAAACATGGCCTGCGTAGCTCAGGGCACCTGTATTGTCTGAAGATTCGAAGGTGGAGATCTACTTACCTGAAGGTGCCTCGTCATTATTGTTTGACGTATTACATATAGATTGTGGTGGAAGGCATTGTTTTTACATTTAGTGTAAACGGTGGGTAATTGTCAGTCATCCAGTTTTTTCATGAACATGCCGCTGTGCAGCAACTTGTACTAGCATGCAGTTTTGGACCACATAAGGAATTTATTGCCTTTACGAGGTTATTGACTCAGGACTCAAGAAAGTCGATCAAACTGCTTTTACTAAAAGGTTTGAGACCTCAAAGGCACATCAAGAGAAGCCAAATAGGCGGGATAAAGAAGTTTGGAATCTATGGTAGTGCTATCGACCAAGGAGAAGTCCAAACACACAATGCCTTGAACAGCCCTGGGAGCCGACTGATCTCGTGATTTGGGCGAATGCTCAGGGTGCTGTGACTCACCGCGCGATGCAGGTCGATGGCATCCCTTTGACCAAGCAGGTCAGTTTGTCCAGGGACCATTGCACTTTGCGTCCAAGAAGGCAGGCAAAGGTCCCTGAGATGGACTCAGAGTTTCTCTCATGCAAACTGGGCTGGATTTTTTAGTTTCATTTTGACCTTGCAAACAAGAGCCAAATCTCGCTTGTCCAGAGTACTGGTGACAGGCCATTTTGAGAGAAAACAATTGAGTCTTTTAAGATCGGTCAATCACAGCCTGATAAAGTCTCTATGTCAGCCGCCCAGATGATCAATCATTTTGTTGGTGGAAACAAGGGAAACACACTTCACCTTGCCCACATGTTACACTCGTTTGTCTAGTTATTCGTTGTTGTCTGAAGTCCATGCCTTCATACCCCTTGTCGTTCCTTTGTCTTGGCCAACGTCAATCCTGGTGGCAGGTGGACGTCTCTATCCCATTATATGGCTGACATATATATATATATATGCATAATATATAGTTTTCGAGTTCAAAACCAACATCCCTGGTGGCCACGCGGGGATGATAGAAGTCAAAACGACCTCGCAAAATCCAGTCAAAACAACCTCTCCTTGTGGGGTGAGTCAGAACTCGAATAATCTCAAGAACCGGACGCTTGGTCAGCGCCCCTCCAAGACCTTAAAGTGCCAGGTGAAACTCTCAGAGGTTCCAGCCTTCGTTCGCCTGGGCACCGCTGCTCGGCTGACACAGATGTACTGCCGTGCATGAGTCCATGAGCACTGACTTTGAAGGTAGTTGCGCAGCAACGCAGAATCAGCACAACTTTACCAAGGACTCTCCAGGGTGCAGAGCTCATGGATGTTGCATGCTAGACACTGATTCATCCTCGGGCGCACCATGTTGTCCACAGGAATCTGGGAGAGCTGGGAAGGCTTTATGTGCGTGGCTCACTTGGCTCAAGGTTCTGACTTTGGCACCTGCCACCTTGGCCTCCAGCCAGAGCTTGCCGGGTGGGCCGCTTGAAGTGCAGGTGAGGTGACGGAACGTTCAACTGTTGGGATGTTTTCTGGACATTGATCTGAGAGGTGGACCAGGGTCTAGGGTCAAAACTAGAAAGCCAAGAAACAAGCAGGTGAAGATCCTAGTAGTCCATTCTGGGTATTGTGTCCCTTGGCTTCAGGCAGGAAGCGTCAGAAAATCAAGTGAACGTGTGTTTCACTCACAGCTGGCATCCTAATAGCAATGGCCTCCAACTAGTTACCTAGTTAAGTTTCCCGAAAAAACTAGGAACCAAATCATAAACGCGAGCGCTTCTTCAAGGAAGCTTCCCAAGCTGCCTTCAGGGCGGCGGGGGAAGCTTCCTTGAAGAAGCGTGAGATATCCTAGTCCATACTAGTAGCTTACTTGTAGGTACTAGCTACCTCTTCTACTAGCAACCTCTACACGGCCTAACCCCCCTTTTTTCCAGGTCTATGCGGGAGCCGACGGCCACTTCACCTTGATCGAAGACGATGGCCGTCGCCGAGCGGCCCCGGTGCGTCGGACGAGCTTTGCGCCTGGGCTGTCACGGAGCAAGGAGGTTTGAGGTTCCCTTGGAGCGAAAAGAAAAGTGCATCGCTACTCGGACCGCTTTCTGTAGCCCAGACTCAGAGTCACCATGTGCCAGCTGCAAACAGTGATGGCTTCAGGAGTCTTCTTCAACTCCAAAGGAACTTCATCAACGGAAGCCATTTTAGGTGTGTTCATCAATCTCAGCCCTTCCACCTCCAAAAGCTGTTCTTGGAAACCTGTTTTGCAGTTGGACAGCCCGCCTTGACCAGCCTGGCCATGAAGAAAACGCGTCCAACCGAGGTCTGGGACGATTTGCAGCAACGCTTGTCATGGACAGTGCAGGGCCAAGTGGGCCAAGCCGAGGCGACGGAGTCGGTGGACGGAGTCGGGGTTGACTGAGCATCACAAGGGTTTCACCTGAGAGCATGAAGGGATGATGCACGGCCTGCACGCAATATGATCATCTCTGGCGAAAGACCAGGGACAGAAGTTTGTGACACTTATAGTGAATCTCGTATGATCTCGTTTCCCCTTGCTCTTGATCACTGCTCGCACGATTTAGACGTTGCTCTTCTCACCCCTTTGAGCTGCGCCTCAAGGACGGCACCTCGTTTCCTCTTGCATCCCACCTGAAGGACGGTCTCTTCCGCCAGCTCATCCTGCGCGTCTTCGCCGCCGGCGGATCGCGCCAGTCGAGCCCGGTGGACCTGGGTGGGGGGCCTCGAAGTCGGGCGCTTTTCCATGGCTTTTGTATGTTTTTGTGAAAGGAACAGGTGTGACACACTGGGTCCCAAAACACATCTTCGAAAGGAAAAGGCATGAATAGGATGGGCCATATGTACTGCAATCATTAAACCATGTCCTTTTTGTTGCAGTGAAATGCGCTCCATTCTGCTGAATTCTTGTTTCGGGTGAGCCCCCATCCACATCGAGACATCAATTTGCCGCATCATCAAACATACTCCCCTGCGAGACTGTTCTTAGACTCGCATGTCGGCAGAGTATGGCAGAGTAGCAAAAACGGGCTGACTCTCGCGTTTTCTGCGGGCGCTCGCAGCGGGCCCTCTGCCCGGTGTCCCATCTCAGGTCTCGGTGGCACACTCTCGATCGGGACGGCGAGATCGTTGCGGCAGGTGCTACTGGATCCATCATTAGGATGATGACGACTAGCTTTGCTTGGGTACTTAAGTAGCATAAGATGAGTCATGTGACGTGAATGCCTCCTGCATTTCGGCTGCAGTCCAATGGCAGAGTCAAACATGTCGGAACTTCACGGTGGAGTCAGCAAGCAAGCAAGCAAGCAAGCTAGCTAGCTAGCTAGCCAGATATAGAGGGAGCCAGCACTGTGCTCCAAAGCCAACAAGTGCCATTTTCACAGACAACACCTGCATAGCCAAGAATATTCTAACAAGCAGCCTCATCGTTCTGGCAGGGTCAATCGCCTGTCTTTCTCGGATTGCCATTCCACTTTTTTGGAATGCAGACCATGACCAGCCTGAGATTGCCCAGCAGAGCACCAGCACTGCCTTGTGAAAAGTCCCACTCGAGCCCACCTTCAGTTGCCTTCGTGGAGCAGCATGTTTCCAGATCCCTTGCACGGACCTCAGTGGCCCTACTAGCTGGTTTTGTCTCTCATCGTGTGAGAAAACTCGGGAGGACTGGCAGAACGGGGCAAACGAACGCAAAGGCATCACCTGTGGTGCGGCGTGTTCTCGAGCCTGGCAAGTCACCCGTGTCGCAGATCCGGAACTTTTCCATCATCGCACACATTGATCATGGCAAGTCCACCTTGGCAGATCGTTTGCTGGAGATGACTGGTACAGTAGCCAAAGAAGACATGAAAGCACAATTGCTTGACAATATGGATATTGAAAGAGAAAGAGGCATCACTATCAAGCTGAATTCGGCTCGCATGAATGTCAAAGAGGATGGACATGATTATGTTCTAAACCTGATTGACACTCCAGGACATGTCGACTTCACCTATGAGGTAAGCAGATCATTAGCAGCCTGTGAAGGTGCCCTGCTGGTGGTGGATGCCACACAAGGTGTTCAGGCGCAAACCATTGCAAATGTCACTTTGGCAATGGAAGCTGACTTAGAGATCGTTCCAGTCTTGAACAAGGTTGATCTGCCCAGCGCGGATCCGGAGAGAGTTTGCCAAGAGATCGAGGATGTTGTCGGGATTGACTGCAGCAATGCTCTCTTTTGTTCTGCCAAGACTGGACAAGGTGTGCCTGAAATTATCAAGAGGATCATTGAGCAGGTGCCGGCTCCAAGTGTTGACGAAACACAAGAGCGCATGCGGCTTTTGGTGTATGACAGCTTCTATGACAACTACCGGGGAGTCATTGCCATGTTCCGGGTGGTGGATGGAAGCATCTCTAAAGGACAGAAGATCCGCTTTAAGGCTTCAGGCAAGGAGTTTATTGTGGAGGAGATTGGCATCATGGTGGGAGGCTTGCGAAAGCCCGTCAGCAGGCTTTCGGTGGGTGAAGTGGGCTATGTTTGCGCCAACATCAAAACGGTGGGAGACGCACGTGTGGGCGACACCATCATTGAAGCGGGCACTGAAAATGAGGTGGAAGCCTTGCCGGGCTACACTGAGGCCACACCCATGGTCTTCTGTGGCCTTTTTCCTGCTGAGTGGCCTGGCGAAGGTTTGGAACACTTCGCAGAACAATCTACCTCTTGGGCTCTTAGAGCTTTCTAGGCTCTCGAAAACCTGCACTGCATTTCGAGTTCTTGGTAACACCGTCATTCAGGAGCTATTGAATGCTTCTTCAGCAAGAAGAATAATAATAAGAGGAAGAAGAAGGAGAAGAAGAAGGTGAAGAAGACGACGACAAAGAATACAAACAATAATAAGAAGACAAGGAAGAAGAAGAAGAAGAAGAAGAAGAAGAAGAAGAATAAGAAGAAGAATAAGAAGAAGAAGCAGGAGGAGGAGAAGAAGAAGAACGAGGAGAAGAAGAACAAGGATAAGAAGAACGGGGAGAAGAAGACGAAGAAGGAGAACAAGAAGAACTGGCCCCATAGTGGAACCGTTTGGGGAACCTAATGGTCAAAACTGCGCACCTAATGCAATTTAAGAACCATCTGTGTTTCAGGGTTATAAGTTGCAACCTGCCAAAAGGCAGACCCACCACTGTGGATCGGTGAAACAAGAGCTGTTTATGCGAAAAAGACAGCGTGTCTTTTCTTTTTTCTTGGAATCCAAGGTCGGGAGACTTCGAGATCATGAAAACAACAAGAGAAAGAATCCAACCAATGGCCTCCAACCTACTAGCGATGACCTCCAACCTACTAACGACGGCCTCCAACCTAAGAGCGATGGCCTCCAACCTACTAGCGACGGCCTCCAACCTAAGAGCGATGGCCTCCAACCTACTAGCGACGGCCTCC